ACATGTAAATAAAATAGAATATCCTTACACACTTATGAGAAATCTTAAAGTGTAATTTATATCACACTGAAGAATTTTTCAGTGGAAACAAATTTATGGATTTGTAAGTCAATGGGAAAAATAATAACTAACATGCTTTCCATAGAATACTAAGAAGTACATTTATATGAGTAAAACCAACCTCTCCCAACAGAATATTTTAATTCAGAATATGGGCACTTAGAAAACCATGAAAGAAATTTATAAAATGATATCAGTAGATTTATTTGATGATAATGTGTTTTAAGAAATAATTATTCATAATCAGAATAATTGGATTCTTAATCATTGTTAACTATACCTTATCTTGTCTCATTCAATTCATACAACTGTTAAGTGAGATAAAAAACAATTATTATTCCTATTTTACTGTATAGAAAATGAGATTTATGAGGTGTGATCAAAATATATGGTGAATTTTAAAATATAATTTATTACAGTAAAAGACACATTTCCATTAATCTTCCGAAAATATCTCTGCTTCAAGCACACTTGCCCCATCACTCTTGTCACTTTTTGAAGCAGTTCTGGAGGTCCCCTTTCATGAGTGTCTTTATGAGGTGTGATCAAAAATATGGTGAATGCTACTGCCAGGTGCCATCCAACAGAAAGGCAGTCTTGTAAAAAAAAATTACAGTGTGCCCTTATCCACTGAATTCACTGGATCTAGCTTTATTTGACTTCTGGCTCTTACCCAAAATCAAATGACTGAAAGGTAAATGTTTTGAATCAGTTCAGGACGATAGAGAAACCACCACAGTGCAACTAAAGACATTTCACAAAGAAGGTCTATCTAGAATTGCTGTTCAGAAAGTGGCAAGAACTATGAAATAAGTGTGTTTGAAATAATTTGGAGGTGAATTACTGGTAATGTGTCTTTTTACTGTAATTTTTAAAAAAATTTAAGCATTCACTGTATGTTTGAATCATATCACATTAAGTATTTTCTCAAGGTCACATAGATAGCAATAAGTTACATTCAAAACAGGCCCTGAAAAATCATATGGCACCCTCTCCAAATAGCTAAAATCCATTAGTATTAATTTTATTAACTAACTTGGCTTCTGCTATTCCAGCTATCAAATTGACTTAAAGTCTATTTCAGTATATTCTCAGTGATAACAATATTAGATTTCTTGAAAATGTCTACCTATTCAACATTTTATGTGTTTCTTACTTTACACAGCTAACTTTTCTAATTATATATAAAGTCTATATATTTCAGTATTTTAGAATTTGTTCTATAATTTTGTAGATATGTTATCTAATTTTGGCATAATTTAAAAATTCTTACTCCATCACTGAGTTCTGTCAAGTAGTTAATATTAATTAGATTTCTGATCAAATAGAGAAACTGCTACTTAAAATAGTTTTACTTATTTTGTGAAGGAAAACATTACGTTATAATTATTTTCTAATCTATCAACTTTAAATGTTTCAATTTTAATTATAAAGCTTTATCAAAGTTGGATCTTGCTCATTTCTTACACCAGCACTTCAGTTACACATTAAAATGTTTTATTTGATTCATGTTAATTTTATGAAGCAGAAAGTTAAAATTGATGAAATATATTTTATTAGTACTTTCCTTAAAAGGGTTTAGATCAGGTTTTCTTACCAAACCAGATTTATATAACTATAAATGTACTATTTCAATTACATTCTCATTTGTTTAAAACTTACACTGCTAAAATCTCTCACACCATAAAAATTTCATGTTATGCTGGCTGGGTTCCTAATAAGTTTTTGCATCATAATACATGAACATGCAGCATTAGTGAATTATGAAAATTTTACATTAAGGGCCGGGGATTTAGCTCAGTGGCACCACGCCTGCCTCACAAGCACAAGATCCTGAGTTCGATCCCCACTGGTACTGCAAAAAAAAGAAAAAAGAAAATTGCACATTAGAAGTATAAATGCTGTTTCAATATTATGCAGAATTGGCTGGTTTTTAAATCAGAGTTGATATTTTCTCATTTTTGACAGTTACTTGCTTTTTGATAGTCATTTGTTTTTTCACAGTTGCCTTTGAATATTTCATATTATGCTAAGCAGGAGCCAAAATTGACTACTAAATCCTCAGATCACAAAATTTCTAACTTCCTTTTTTTTTTTCCCTCCCTGGTACTGGGAATTGAACTCAGGACCTTGCACTTGTCAGGCAGGCTCAGCACCACTGAGCTGCACCCCTGGCCCTGTATGACTTTCTGAATTGAACTGCACATTATATAAAATGCTTATTTATGTGATAATGGTACACAGTGGATTAAGTAAAATGCAGGTTCTCTCAAACCTCTTTTGAGTTTTACCTTTTTATACGGTTCCAAAAGTTTGCAAGATAGTTTGGTTTAATTGTAGAATAGCTGTCAGTTGTATTAGTCCTACAATTAATTGGTTAGTTTTTTTCTTTTTACCCATATTTTACCGGTATTTATGTGGTTTTTCATTAAGATAGTTTCTTTTTTCTCTCTCTCTCTCTCTTTTTGGTTTCTTCAGACAGGTTCTCACTATGTAGTTCAGGCTGGCCTTGAACTCCAGGGATCCTCCTGCCTCTGCCTTCTAGGATTATAGGTGTGTGCCACCACACCCAGGTTTTATAGTTTCTTAACCATAATGTTCATGAGCAAGTTGTTGTAACAGATTATTCTATTAAGAGAATTAAAGTTTAAAAAATCCTATTTTCCATATTAAATCTTTCCAAAGAAAGTTTGTAGATGAAGTTCCTAAAATCAGGGATTTTCATTCATTTTAAGTATTCTCCAACAATTGTAACTGTAGTTTAACTGTGCAGGAAGCAATCCACTTACATATTTTATGCTTAGATTTAAAATTATTTTTGGCATTGATTAAAGGAAGAAGAAAGAAAAACTATAAAAAGCAGTTAAATATGTCTCTAAGATGAAGGAAATAGAGAATAAAATAATATAGTGTTAGAATATTCTGAAGCTGTGTAAATACCTTACATTTGCAGTGTACTTTAGAAAAATATACAGTTCAAAATTTTAATCTTACAGTAGCCTTGTGAATTAGGTAGATCTCCCCCTTTCCCTGGTTCTACCCCTTCCTTGCTTGCACTCTCTCTCTGTTGGTGTAAGAATAAAACTTAGGCAAGGATTCTACCTCTGAACTATATCCCAAGCCCCTCTAACCCTCACTGTAAGAAAGAATAGAAGGAAAGACTTTCTCCTTCTTGTTCTCTTTTTCTTTTGGATTTTGGAGAGGTCTTGTTGTATAGTACAGGCTGACCTTCAACTCACCTTGTAGCTCAGGCTAACCTTGAACTCATGGTGATCCTTCTGCCTTAGCCTCTTAAGTGCTGGAATTATGCGGGTACACTACCAGGGTCACCTTAGGGAAGGATTTCTTAAGCCATAAAAAGTATAAACCATAAGAAAGATTAATAACTATAATATATAAAGTAATCAAAATTTAAAAAGGACAGAAGCAACTCACAGAAGAGGAAAAGCAAATGACCCAATATGTACGATGTTTAACCTTACAAGTAATCTGGGAATGCAAAGTAAAATAATAGTTGGGAAATGGGCCGGGGATTTAGCTCAGTGGTTCTGCCGCCTGCCTCACAAGAGCAAGGTCCCGAGTTTGATCCCTAGTACCAAAAAAAAAAAAAAAAAAAATGGGAAAATACCCCAAAAGATTAGCGGGAGACCATTTGTCAAACATCAAATTATATTTAAAAAATGACCATACTCCATGTTTTCAAGCTTGAGGAAAAATAATAATTCTCATGCTGACAGGGGAAAGTTGTATGATTCATTTACGCTGAGGTTCATTTGGCAGCGTGTTCTTGTAAGAGTGAAGAATTGGAAACAAGCTAAATGTCTCTCAGTAGAGGAGTGGATAAAAAAAAACTTAATAGAATAATTTCAAGGAAATTGAAAAGCAGTTAAAGGTAATGCACTAGATTTATGAAACTTAGTATCTTAAAAACATAGTGAAGAGTAAAAGAAAGTAAATTGTGGGCTGGGATTATTGTTCAGTGGTAGAGTACTTGCTCAGCATGACGAGGCCTTGAGTTTGATCCCCAGAGTCAGAAAGGGGAGAAAAAAGCTAATAAAAAATTAATTGTGAAAATTTTAAGTTTGCTATAGTACTGTTTATGTGACTACAAAGCCAAATATTGATTATCAAGACTATGTATTTTCTCACGAATATACAAATATGCCTGTAAATGTATTTGAAATATCCTAGAAGAGTATATTCTAAATTCATATACAATAGTATAGACTCTGGAAAAGATAAAAGGAATTTAACTGAAAAGTAATTTTTTTAAGTTAAAAGATTGATACCTATGATATTTAAAATAATTAAGATTCAAGTGAATTTGGAAAATGTTAACAATTTCAGTTGTGAGTGTTAGGTAGATGGGTGTTTATTAAATTATTTTTCTATTTCTTTTAGAGTTGTCTTTAAAATAGCAAAAGAAAAGAAAGTTTGATTTTTTTAGGGTTATCAAAATAGTTGAAAGAGCTTAGGCTTTTATTTCCAAGTCTAGAACTTTTTCTACTACTGTGATGCCTCAAAATGAGAAGAAAAAATAAATTGAGAAAGAAGACTAAAAAAGAGTAGATGAAGTTGTTTTATAGTACTATGAATCAAGAGGTTTATGTGTTTATGATACATTTTGGGGGGAGGGAAGGAAAATTTATAAGATAAATTAAGAGTTGTAATTTATTTTAATCTTTAAGTATGCTGTTTTTATATGTGCAGAGAGAAACTTAGTTTCTTAAAAGAGGTATGTTGATTTATTGTTTACAGTGTGATACATACTCCTGTTGCATGCAATGGAAAACATTAGATGATTTCATTTTTCTAAATACAAAGTTTATGAAAATAATTAAATGTACAATCTGATTGCAGTCTTAAAAAGTCAAAATTAGTGTTTCTTCCATTTTGTGAAGTCATTCTTGACAAAAACTTTACAGCCTTTTTATTTACAGCTTCTCTCCACGATAAAATGGCAAAACCCAAAGAGAAAACTCCAATGTGTCTGGTAAATGAGTTGGCCCGTTTCAATAGCATCCAACCCCAGTATAAACTTCTGAATGAAAGCGGGCCTGCTCATTCAAAGGTAAGGTTATGAAGAGAGGTGATGAGACATGCTTATCAAACTATCAGATTGATCATCCCATCACAGGTTAATTGTATTTTATGATTTGAAGTGGGGGCTGGTGGATGGCCTGAAGGCTTTTTGTTCTATATCAATAATGTTTCGAAGTCTGTAAACAATTTTTTAGCTTATTGCGGTTTATAAAGCTCTTTCAGGTTCAGTACCTCATAAAAATCTTAAGAAAACCACAGAACATTTTCAGATTTCCATTTTGTAAATTAAGACACTCAGGGACAGAAAAGCTAAGTGACTAAATAGTTCACAAGTGGCAATGCCAGCACTTGAATATGTGTTCTTTGACTCTCAAGTACAGTGCTCTTTCCATTAAATTACAGCAGCTAAAGTAAAATGGAAACAGAGCAAATGTTGCATTGGTTAGCTATTGATACATCTTTTCCAATGTGAAGTTTAATTCTATGATTTATCATTTATGAAAGTTGGTTATAGCAGTATGAATGCTTTTCCGTATAATATATTTTGAATGATAAAACAATTTGTATTATATATAGGTACGTACACATATTTACATATATATGTTAAAAGGAAAGCTACAACTAGCACATTTATGTTTGAGCTCTTCATTTGTTTAAAAAATCTTAGTAGTACATAATTTTCCTTGACACATATTAAATATTGGATATTATGACGGTAATCAGTAATCATAAACTTTTCTACACAGTGTAGAAGCAGTTGATTCTATAAATGTTAATCTTCATAAAGCTACTATTGAGTAATTTTCTATCATCTTCTTTAAACTAAAGAAAATCAGCTGAAACTAAAACCTATCAATTTTGTTCCCCATGAGAGGCTTTTATGAAGGAGTTTTGGACAGTTGTTTAATTTTTTCATACTTTTTTCTCATTTTTACATTAGCAGAGAGGGTAGTGCTCTTATTGTACCTGTTTAACTGTATATCCTGACTCTTACGCTCATTCTGCCCTTAATCATGTTCAACTATTTGTATTTCTCAAAGTATTTTATGTTCTGCCTTTCCCTAACTTATAGTGTCTTCTGCCTTGAGTGTCTTTGGCCATTATTCATTTTGAACACATAACATCTGCATCATATCTTCCTAAACTCTGTGAAACCTATGATCTCTCTACTGGCCCTCCAGTAGGACCTGGAGTTCTCAGTTGTAGGTGTTACTGTGTTGTAGTTAAATGATAGATGTTGGATATTACTTTTGTGTTTACTGAGCTTATTTTGGGGCATGGTTTTTACTCTACTGCTATTCCTGGTGTCTCTGGTATATGACCTTCTCTGCTCCTAGTTCCCAATGTCAGATGTTCTTCCTTGAGATAGTCCCCTAGCTTTGACTTTCATGTGATCAGACTTAACTCCTCATATCCCTCATGATAGCCATCTATTGACCTTTGAGTAATTGCATCACATTTCTCATGGCTCACTTTCATTTCTTCAGATTCCTCCTATTTTATTTTTAAGGATTTTAGTATTTAAATAGATGATTGTTCCAACATGTTGACCTTTCAGTTCCTTGAACTTCTCCAATCATCTTGTCTTCTATTTTCCTTCAGACAATCATACCTGTAACTGCATTCTTAATTTCATCATTACCAGTAACTGCAAAACATTTCATAATTTTAATTTGAAGCACTTATCTCTCTCTGACACTTACCTTGTAACTTCTAGATCATTCCCTTGAGTAAATAGATTTTGATGGTCTTTGCATGTCACAAATCCATTGATACTACCACTTTACTTAGTCCTTGGCTCCTTGTTCAGCTTAAACTTTATGATTTGTATGTATATATCTTCAGCTCTCTTGCCTCTCTTGCTTACAAGTACTTAATTTGTGTACTAGATCACAGCCTCTTTAACCATTCCTCCAGCTTCACTTCCCCTCACCTTTTCTTCCCTCCTCTTCCTTTCTTCTGTGTCATCAGTTTCTCCCTTCCAGTGGATGATTCCCATCAGGATTCAGATGTGCTGTTAAGTTTTCTCCTCTTAAAAAAAATCTTCTGATTCCACTTCTTCCTCCAGTTAGAATCTCATCTCTCCTCTCCTTTACAGAAAAACTCCTTTAGAGTTGTCTATACTAGGTGTTTCCAGTTCTTTTTTTTTTTTTGGTACTGGGGATCGAACTCAGGACCTTGAGCTTGCGAGGCATGGGGTGGCACCACTGAGCTAAATCCCCAGCCCTTGTTTCCAGTTCTTATATTTTCCCTCTAGCCAGGAATTCATTCCCATTACTCCCACCATTTAAAGTTGGTCTAATGAAGGTCACCAACAATTTGTTAAATATTATAAGTAATTGTCAATCTTATGTTTGACCTCTTGGCTATATTTGATACAGTGCAACTTTTTAAAAATTTTATTTTAAAAAATTTTTGAGTAAAGCAAAGTATTCAACTTCTTGTTGTAATACTTTCTTTATTTGGCTTTTTTATCACATAGTTTCTCTTCTAAGAGAAACTCAAAAGTATAAATAATTTTTTATTTTCTGAAAAAGTAAAGACAAAAATTCATTTAACTTCTAGGACATTCCTCTGTGCACTAGTCACATTTTAAAAGTTTTCTTTCTCCACAGTTTCCAAGACCTGTTAATTAGTAGGGCCCCAGTGTTCAGACCTTGGGTTTCTCACTCTTTTGACTTTTGTTCCTGAGTTATCTCACACAGTCTTTTAGCTTTAGATAACATCTACATGCTGACAATGTTCAAATTTATGTCTGCAGCTCAGAGCCCTTTCCTATATTCTACAATCATGTATCTAATTGCCTATTAATGATCTCTATAGAGGATCTAATAGATTTCTCAATCTGAGATCATCTAAAACTGAATTCTGATCTCTGTCATACACCTTCTCTTTGCTTTTCTTGGTTACACCTTCAAATATTTTATTGTTTTATCTCCCCCAATTTTAATGTAAACTCTCTAAGGACAGGTTTTTAATTTTGTTTGTTTACTGATGTATTCCCAGTGCCTCAAGTGGTGAACATACTAGGTACTCAATAAATATTTGTTGAATGAATGAATGAAAAATATGTATAGATAACAGCGAGTGAAGCTTCTCTGAAAGACAGAAAAAGGGCTGAAGGTTCTTCTTTGGAGTAATTGTGAAAGAAGTGGATAAATATAAAATAGTACCCCTAGAAAAACAAATTTATTCTCTAAAGAGACATTAAAAATAATGAACAAGGAAAATTTTTATTTAATTTTTATTGGAAGCAAGCTTACTGTTCTAAATTTTGTCCATTGTTCTGAGTCTATTAATGTTAGATGGATTTAAGACAAAAGAGTTGATAATTTTATTGTTCTTTTCCTTTTATCAGAAGTGTGCATCTAATAATATATGTATATTACTCATTTTATTTGAGAACCCTACTTTAATAATGTTTTACTTTGGAATGTATCAGATCGTCATCATCGTTATTAAAGAATTATTTTAGGATTGCTATTTTTTTTTTTTGGCACCGAGAATCAAACTCAGCACCTTGTGCTTGTGAGGCAGGAGGCAGCACCACTGAACTAAATCCCCAGTAGGATTGCTATTTTGACAGTTGCAATTTTTTTGTAGTTCAAAATAATTCTCCCTTTTAACTTTCTTCACATGGTGATTGAATTGGGGTCTGAACTCAGGGCCTTGCACTAGGCTATTTCTTCACCTTTACAATTTTTTTTTTTTTTTAAAATTTGAGACAGAGGGGCCGGGGTTTTAGCTCAGTGGTTATGCCACCTGCCTCAAAAGCACAAGGACCTGAGTTCCATCCCTGGTACCAAAAAAAAAAAAGAAAAGAAAAGAAAACAAAAATTGAGACAGTCTCACTGAATTGCTCAGGCTGACCTCCATTTCTGATCCTCCTGCCTCAGCCTCCCAATTAGCTGGGGTTACAGATGTGTATAACCATGCCTGTCATCTCCTCCATTTTTGAAGGATGCTTTTGCTGGATATAGCATTCTTTTTCTTTTTCTTTTTCTTTTTTGTGATATTGAGGATTGAACCCAGGGTCTTCATATTGAGAGGCATACTCAACTCTTTTTGTTTCTTATTTTGAGACAGGGTCTCCCAAAGTCATTAAGTTGCCCAGGCTGGGCTTTAATTTGTGATCTTGCTATGTCCACTTTCTTTCCTTTTTTTTTTTTTCTTTTGCTGTGTCCACTTTCTAGAGTGCTGGGATTATAGGTGTGTGCCACCATGTCTGGCTGGATAAAGAATTCTTATTTTTTCCCTTAAATTCTTTTATTGGTACGTTTTAAGTTTACAGTATGTTTACATTTATCATTGGGTGCTTATACCTGTACATGATGTATCTTGGTTCGTATTTTTTCCCCATTACCTGTGCGCCCTTCACCCCCTCCACCCTTCCCTATTTACATAGACTTTGTTTCCATTTTTTTTCTTTTCTCATACTTTCTCCTTTCCCTTCTTCCCTTTCCCCTTCCCCTCCCGCCAACCCTACCCCTTTGGACCTTTTCTTCCTATTTCAGAGTATCACTTATTCATTTTAATCATTTTAATCCTTAATTACACTTTTAGTTTCTCACACTAGAGAAACTATTTGGCATTTACACATGTGTGTCCTATTTATTTCACTTAAGAGTATGGCCTCA